TAATTACTGCTGGGGATAATGCGCTACAGTACCGGCTATTATACAGTACAACCCCTCGGAAACATGAGGAAAAAAGGGAAAAGGGAAAACAGAACCAAGGGAAAGGACAAAGGAAGTAGTATACACCGCCTTCCATGGTGGGACAGAATGATGCGACTACTTATCTGAAGGGAGGGCTCACAAGAACTCGAAATATAAAATACAAGTAGACACGTAAAGTATGGAAGCATAGTCAAAGTACGAGAATAGAAATTCTACTAGTACAGCATAATTATCCACAAATGCCATGTAGCATACGCGGAACAATAAACACTGCAGAAGGTGCCAACAGCTACCAGAGGGAGAGAAGAGGGGAAGGGAGGAAGATATTTAAAGCGCGTTAATTGAGTTCGGCCTACAGGAACGATCCTCCGAGTCCGTCGATCGGTGGCATTGTGGAAGGTTGAGTTCAAGACAGGTCGTACCCATATTAAGAAATATCGGCACTTCGTAAAAAGGTCCGATTGAGGGTGTAAAAGCATGACCCGCGAGACGTCGGGTACCTCAGCGTATTGCCGAACGAGGTCAGAAGGATACGAAATGGACCATTGGAGAGTTTGTGTGGGATAAATTTTTTGCTTGGAAAAGGGGTACACTTTGATAAGCGGAACCCCCGGCAGAATCGGGTGTGCTCTGAACGAAATCGGAACTTGGGTTGAAGGACTGAAAAACTGGGAACGAGACAGTTCCTTGGGCACCGCTGACCAAAGATTCTAAATGATAACTCCAGTTGTCGACTTGCATTTCCTGGCCAATTTGAGAGAGTTGGGTCGAAGGGCCGCATGACGGGAGAAAGAAGCTGGTGCAGTCGTCAGGTAGATGATCAAAGTGAAAGAGATGCGAGTCTTGCGCGGGTTCTGCGGGGATAATTTCGGAGCCGTCGACGACAGGTGATTGTTGGGACTCCGCCACTTCCCCCGCCCACGGGACAGTATACGAGTTTCCCGCGAAGGTGTCCCATAAGGTTTCAAGATCGAGGAAAGAGGCAGTTGGCTGCGGAGCCCAGCCGTACGACTGGTTTGCATCGAACGGCAGAGGAAGGACGACAGGAGCCAGAGCGGGAGGGTTGACGGCAAACCTTCAGAGAGGGAAGAAGGGGAGGATGTGCCAACAGCACAATGCTGTTTTTCGTCAGAGCAACGCCTATCATAGTCTGCCAGCGCCTCGCGTAAAGCGTCGCCAGTCACCCCTTGCGAGACAAGCCTAGCAGCCTCCTCATTTCGTAGCAATACCTCGGGTTCATTACGTTTGGTTTTGCGTTTCCGCCTGTCTCCGCGAGGCTTCGGTGTGAAGCGATAGCCGGGGTACTTTATGGAATGTTCTACCTTTGCTTGGTGAGCTGCATCCTTGAACCGTTGCTTGGCCTCTGGAGGTAGCTTTCTCCACTCGCTCGAGGCCATGCGGTTGAGTTGCCGGTGATCCTGTTCAATTCCAGCAAGGAGGGATTTCCTCTTCGCCAGCCAGTCGGTCTTAAACAGGAAGAAAGAGTTAAGCGGGCGAGGGACGTGATTTGGACCGCGCCTTCGGGTGCCAGTCCTTAGGGGTTGGGGTCCATCACCCCCGCCAGGGCGAGATGATATCGGTGAGCACGAAGTGACATCGGATGGTGTCAGATCATAAATCTCGGCAGCTCTGGGGACGGAGTAGGGTGATTCGCCCTCAAGTGGTTGAGAGGTGACCTGAGTCCGAGTCTCTAGCGGAGACTCAGAGTGAGGGGCAACACTGAGCCAAACATCAGCCTACGTGGGTATGAGATATGCTCGTTTGATCACGTACTGGTTGAAAGCAAAGGGATCCCTGTAAGATTGCCAGTAGAGGGCACTGGGGGACGGGGCACCGGTCGAGTGACAGTGATGAAAAGTAGACATGGAGAGTCAATTGTAAAGCTAGTGCAGGTAATCTGAAGAAGACATGTTCGCCCCCCGCCATTTGTAGTCAGAGAGCGACATCCAGGCGCTTTTTCAGCGAGCGACTATCAATAGTAGCGTGATCTCAGCAAAGGTAAGTAAGTGGGCGACGGCGTAGATCAGATCGCCCGTTTCTCGGCACTCAGAGTCCGCGACCATATTAGCTTAACATGGCCCGTCAAATTGGCTACCACCAAAGAAAGAAGTTGGTTCGCATCACGTGTCTACCGCTAACCATTTCCGATTGGCACGCAAACCACATCTCATCTCACACTACAATGTCTACAACTATCCGCAAGCAGGCACCGCGTCCCGCCAGGCCTGCCGGCCGTTACTGGAAGGGAAAGGCACCCAAGGGTGCTGCTGACCTTCCCTCCTCTGATGAGTCAGATGACGGGAGAGAATTACCACAAGAGGAAGGTGATGTCGCGTTCGCTGGCGAACAAGAATTTCTACATGCCGAATATGACGGCGACGAGGAGGAAGAACAGGGACGCAAGGGGCAAAAGACCGGAAGGATGAACGTCGCCTTGAAGAATGTCAATATATCCAAGGAGGGAAAGGTATTAATCGATGGTAGGCAGGAAGTGGGTAGAACTGAGATGGAAGGTGCGCTCTCTTGCCCCCCCCTCCCGATCATTACCAACAATTACGACAATCATCTAGAACAGTCTGAGGAAACGGAAGAGGAGACGGACGCCAAGGCTGCGAGTCAATTGGAAACTGATGAAGTGAGTCAGGGCATATATTATATTACTCTCACTAAAAGGTTATCCTACGATAGTCTAGTGAATCTGAATCTGAATCCGAATCAGAAGAGGGGAAACCTAAGATTCAATTCCGGCCCGTTTTCATTCCAAAGTAAGCTTTCTGCTCACGACGATCCCCGCTTCTCTCCGTATACCATATTTCGCTCCATTAAGATAAATTCCACAGACGAAGCCGCGTTACGGTAGCTGAGAAGCAGGCGTTGGCCGAGGACTCAGAGGAGGCTCTTCGAAGGAAGGAAATCGAAGCAGAGGAGAGAAAAAAACAGAGTCACGATCTCGTCGCGGAAAGCATCCGGCGAGAACTCTTGGAAAGTACGTGACACACCTATACCCTAATAGATGTGGCCTTTTACTTTTTTTAGAGGAAAAAGAAGAGGAAGTCATCGATGTCGATGACACAGACGGTGTCGATCCGGCGGGGGAGTTCGATGCGTGGCGACTTCGAGAACTTGCACGAATAAAGCGGGACAAGGAAGCTGAGATTGCTCGTGAACAGGAGCGTGAAGAGGTTGAGCGACGGCGCGCTTTGCCAGAGGAACAACGGCTGAAGGAGGATCTTGAACATGCAAAGAAGTCACGGGATGAGAAGCCCAAGGGTGAACAAAAGTTTTTGCAAAAATATTGGCACAAAGGTGCTTTCCATCAGGTACGTTTTTCCCGGATAATATGCGTGAATTACCGCATGACATTTGTTATAGGACCAAGAGATTCTCACACGACATAACTTTACTGAGGCGACGGAGTCAACCATGGATGTGTCTGTGCTTCCACAAGTCATGCAGGTAAAAAACTTTGGCAAGCGCGGAAGGACAAAGTACACCCACCTGGTGGACCAAGACACAACTATGGGAAATGGTGGATTTGGTGGTGCTGGCCCCGTCAAAGCAGGACGGTCGGGTACGGATAGCGGGGGTTGCTTCCTTTGTGGAGGCCCACATATGAAAAGAGGTACATCACATGTTCCACCTTCGATGATAGTAATATTCATAATAACATGCCTAGACTGTCCCCAAAATGTTCATGCCCTTTCTGGGGGACCGGGAACAGGACCAAATGCCGCGCCAACTGGTATTCGCGACGAACGTCGGTTGTCCTGGCGAGATGACGGCCGCCAACGGCATGACCGCGAAAGCTATGGAGGTCAAGACCGAGGTGGTTCAAATGATGATCGGGACCGCCGCAAGCGATATGGTCCAAGGAGTACAGAGCGAGATGAACACGGGTACAACTATGATGACCGAGGCCGATTCGCAAGGGATGATAAGCACAGGGAATCTCAAAGGGAGTGGCGACGGTCGCAATCGCGATCGCGGTCAGTGGACAAAAGGAATAGCGGAGATGAAAAGCGACGTCGAGTGGGATGACTATCCAACGACATATCCGTTCATCCGCATATCCCCTGGCTTCCCTGTTCACGTGCGTGTTTGGTCTATGCCGATCAAACTAGGGCCGGCTCTCATAACGCGCTGGAGTGCTCCATTCCATGGTTTGGCACCGGCGCTGTAGGCCTTCTCGACGTATGCTAGTTACTTATTACAGCAAAGAGAAGTGTGCAGATCTTCTGATATACGAACTGTGGGCTACGACTTTGGTGCTATGCCCAAGTAGTCTTAGCCCGAACCCGACGAACCCGAGCTAGGGACGTTATGCAACAGCTGCTTTTGGGTATACATACAGTATGCGTTGCAAGGCTGGGTACGGTGTTGAGCAATTCCGTGACGTAAAATGACCGAGGACAGGGTATTGGGACCATTTTAACTTGATTGGTTAGAACCGTTCTCACCAGCTAACTAACTTTAGTCTCGCATGGAGAGGTCCTTCAGGCTACTGGAAATACTCCCGGCGAAAAGTGCGCAGAGCTTTTTATTGGCTCATTTTCTTCCAAGACGTACTATGGCATGACATGACATCCGAGAGGCCACCGAATAGATAGTCGATCAGAGGTCACAAGCGTTTTCGCAGTAATTAGCTGTAGCTTCTTCCGTGCCTTCGGCAGTTGCCCGCACAGCTTTAATTGAGTCCACCTTGTCGGGATGCTGCGCCCGCATTATCTTGCTCTCACGGGGAGTTTTTTTTTTTCATTGCCACCCGTAATTACTGTACAGCCACATTATAGGCCAGAAAAAAATAATCACACACATAGGCGGAACCAAATTTCTAACTCCTACCTCGGGCCGTGGAAGTAGTCATGTGTTTATTCAGCCACGTGTAATCTGTCACATGGTCTTGGAACCCAGCTTGAGGCATCAGAATATGAAGTGTAATTCCAATCAGTTGGACCCAAGGCCAGATAGCTCAGTGGTTAGGGCACCTGGCATATATCTGGGGGCAGTGGGGGGGCCTGGGTTCGAATCTCAGTCCGATCACTTTTCTTTCTCAATAAAGTCGCTCTAAGTATATGTATTATGTAAAAATGACATTTGTCAGGTACCCGTGATTACTTCTACGGCCCGAGGTAGGAGTTGAACTTTTGGTTCCGCCTATGTGTGTAATTATTTTTTTCTGGCCTATCGATATGAATGTGGCTGTAATGCGTAATTCGTCATCATTTCATTCATTTAATTTCATTTAACACTAGTACCGATGTTACCCATCTGGGATAAGGTTTCGGACATAAGTTACCGGATAAGCACGTGCTTCCCGGGACGAGGCTGACGACTTGGAATCGACGACGATGGTCCCTACCGCACGCCTTGAGTCCTTTCCGCGCTTTCGCTTCGCTCCACATCGCTGCGACCTTGATTGGGACATTTCAGCATGATGACATCAAGACTGCCTTTCTCCACGGCGTTCTTCTCGAATCAGAGAGTGTTCATGGAACAACCTGTTTCGAGGCGCCTGGAAAAGGGAATTGGGTCATGCGGCTGATGAAGAGCACCTAACTTACGGCATGAAGCATGCGCCAGCGGCCAGCCGGATCTGGAACCAGACTTTCCACTAGACCGTTTTGAAATTCGGCTTCAAATGTGCTGTAAGTTACAGCGCCTCCCCTGCGAATGGTGTGTATTCAGGCGCAGACTAGTACCAGTGTCTTGCTCTTTGCGGTTCACGTCGACGACATCATCGTCATTTCCTCCTCTCCCGCCGAGAATGACCAGAGAAAGGGACATCTCTGACCTCCACGTGAGTTTTACGTCGATGCCAAGATGTGCCTGCGTGCACGTGATGTAGAGGCATGTTTCATATACATTCGTTCTTTTCCCATCACTGTGCCGTGGGTTTTTATACCGACGATTTTGATTGGTTCAGTACCACCACATGGTATCTGAGTGTCCTGCACTTTCCGTCAATGACAACTGTTTTGGAGACGGCGAGAATCACGATGATACCAAGGGGACAACGTGATTGTAGCAAGTGCATCGTTTGACCAATTACTCATAACGAATACACCTAATTACCCCCGCTAGGCCTATCAACGATAGCCGCCTCAGTACCACCGTGACGTTCCAAACCGGCATTTAAAGCCAAGCTCGGAGACAAAATGTAACCTTCTGCTGACCTTTCCGCCTTACACAAATGAGTGATCTCAAGGATTCTAATCTACGCCCTCGATGCGCCAAAGTTGCCGTCGTCGGTAGCGGCCTTGCCGGACTCACAGCTGCGTATTTGTTGTCCACTGTACCTCAACGAGCGGACATTCGGCACAACGGCAGGCCCGTAGAATATGAGGTACACGTCTTCGAAAAGGTGTGCGCTCTTCCCCCTCCCCACTTACTTGGCAAAGGTTTCTTATCTTTTCGTTGTCGTGACACCCCGACCCCCTCCTCATTCTCTTTTACCGTACTCATTGTACGGTAATGCGATTATCAGGCTAACACACTCGGAATGGACTCTCACTCAGTTTCATTTATGCTGCCCGGGGAGAAGGGGGAATGGCGTGTTGATGTGCCAATGCGCTCTTTCCAGGGAGGCAAGTATTCCTCAGATCATCCAAGCCGTGTCGGCTGATGATAGCGCAAAGGCTACTACCCTCAGCTCATCGCACTCTATAGTCACCTCGGCGTGCTATTCCGGCGTTCGAATTTCTCATATTCGTTTTCTCACCTCGACGCCTTTCCTTCCTACGGTGTGGGTCCCAAGAAAGAAACGAGAGAACATTCTGCCATTTACCCGACACTAATCTATAACGGCGCTTCTGGCAGAGGGGGGATAAGTATTCCATTTGCGCTGAGACAAATCTATACCACACTCCCACATGGTACCCTCCGACGCGCACGAGCACGGCTCGCCATCGTCTTCTCCTTCGTCTTATCTATGGCCAGTCTCGCGTTTATTTTCTTCCGGTTGCAACTTCTTGCCTCCCCGTGGCTGCGCGGGAATAGCTCCAAGGAGCTATCGTGGGTACAATGGGTGGAGTTTATGACACCGCGCGGACGATTATCAAAGATGGTTGGATTAGACAAGCGCTGGCGCACGTTTATGCAAGATGTCTGCATTCCGCTTTTCTCTGCGGTCTGCACAGCACCGCTGAATGACGTCGAAACCCACCCAGCGGAAGAATTCCTTGGTGCGTTCTTGCGTTCCATATTTTAAAAAAGCTTCCGACATCTTGGCCTAATGTGGCGCACACTCATACGCAGACTTCATATGGCGTACATTTATGACACACCATTACGTCGCCTCACACGGAGTTCGTGATGTCGTTGCGCGACTATCGAGCCATATTCCGGCCTCGAGGATCCACCTTGGCGTCCCCACTACGAAGCTCTTGCCAGACCGCACTTGCCCCGGACTCGTCACAATTGTCTGCGGTACAGGAGAGGACTTGACGTTGTACTCTGGCTTTGAGCATGTCATCTTAGCCACACAGGCGAATCACGCTGCTCCCCTCGTCGATGGATACGCGCGCGCATTAGAGGAACAGCGAGCTGTGCAAGCCGTCGTGCCCGCGGCCCAATTAAGCGCTTGCCTCTCTCAATTCGAGTACCGCCGGACTATCGTAGTCAACCACACGGATGATAGCCTGCTTCCTGCAGACAATCGTGACCGACGTGACCTCAACATGGTGGTGATGTCGTCGTCGTCGCTTGCAGTCGCCAAACGGAAGTTCACGGACAAAGGGCCGACCGGGCTGGTGCTTCCACCGACATATGCCATGGCTACGCACATAATTCCTTTCCCCGCTGACAGGGCACCGGGCACGGCGATACTACAAACGACAAACCCAATATTTGCTCCTCGTCCAAAGAGTGTGCTCTCGGTATCTCGCCTTGAGCGAGCATTGGTGACACGTGCAAGTAAAGCCGCAGTCCGTTCGTTATGTGCAGACGAGGAAGACGCAGTGGGTGTGGGACGCCTCCAGGGAGCGGCTCTGCGGGGGCTTGGGAAGGCAGCTGCAGGGCTCTGGGTGGTAGGTTCGTACGCTCACCGGGGGATTCCACTGTTGGAAGGGTGTGTTTTGAGCGCCAGGGAGGTAGTAGAGCGTGGAATTTTGCCATGTGAAGGTAGCAGTGTACATGGCTCACCATGGTAGCGAATCTAGCGATTGTTACCTGAACCATGATCCTTATTTCACCCTAGAACTAGATCTAGAGTAATCTACCATGTGCTTGGTGCCTAATGATGTATACAATAAAGGAGTCACAGTCTTGTTTCTTTGATTTGGACTCTGGACTCTGGGGTTGCGCTAACACACAGGGGCACTCACATTTGATACTGTACTGGATTACTTTTACCGTCGCCTCACGATCTGGGGACCACTTTCTTTGGTTTACTACGCATCCTTTCACCAACCGACGGGAAAACCATCACAGTTTTGGCATACCCTCTCTTTGATTGCAAACCATGTTGTTCCGCTCGTAAAATCCATTCACGAGCCTCTGCATCAATCCCCGCTGCGCACTAGATGATGGGACATCACATCATTGCCAGCTGTTCGCACTGCTTGCTGCGCATACAAACTCCATTCTATTACACCCCATCCACAATACAGTACAATAGGCAACCACACGCGATTTTAGTAACTCCGGGTGAACGACGGGGCAACGAAGGAATAATGCGATCACGGTCATGATGCGGTGATACCAGTGCTAGTTGCTCTAACGTGACCATTTCAGAGTGGTCGACAGTTGGCATGTTGGCGTTGTCGACCCTGCGTCGAATGGTTGGAACGTCGTCAAATGCACAAACGCACGTTCGCACCCTACCCAATAGAAGGAGACCTGATATATTGCCATCTGTCAAGCAATCTCACCCGATGAGATATGTACTGTGCACTCTTCGAGGGGACTGCCTTCCACAAACAGTAGGCATGCACTGCGCGCCAATCATACTGCGCCACCAAAAGAGGGAATTGAAAAGAGGCTTGCGCGCTGTTTGTGGTTTGGTTTGTGCCAGGGCATTTTTGGCATGTTCGACACGTTCGGCGACTCATGGCACACTGGCAGCTGTGGCACATGCCACAGTACTAACTAGCTAGATATATAGCCAGTGCATCATCATCAACTTCTCTGTGTAGATTGGTAGGGCAGATACGTCTAGCTAGGGAAAAACCTGTTGCGTCCAAGCAATCTGTCATGGTCACATTCGAAGACCCATCGGCTCCATCTGTCACTGCATCTGCTCCCCTTGCAGTTTAGGCACTCCGTGCCTAGGTGGCGAAACATCTGTGACGTTTACATCATGCACACGTCACCTGGTCCTCCCATTTGCCCTGCCTGAGCTGAATGTCTGGTCAGTCATGTTCCAGATATACTGTCGCGGTAGAACGGTGGCCACCCATGTCGGAGACGGATGTGGAAAAAAATTCATTGGCAGCGCAGGTCGAAATGATCGGTCCAAGCGCAGACGCGTAGCGTCGGAGCTTGGAGTTGGGTCTTGGTGGCCGGAAGGAGCGGAGCGTCGGCTCATCCATTCTTTCATCGCTTCATCGCTGCATCCTCTGCCGCCTCAGCAGCAGCTAGTCGTACATACTCTGATCACACACTGTAATTACACCCTCCCACCACTCCCTTCTGCCAATAGAGTCGTCAATTCCTCGCAAACAAACGAGTCCACAATCAGCGCTAATCAGCGCCAGTACCAAGCTAACCACGTCACCTCCAATCGAGCAGCGAGGAATCATCTCCATCTCGCAGCAGCAACCATCACACCATCACAACCAGCGGGTCTGTTGTGACCACCAGTTCACGGATCGCTGCAGCGTGCGCGAGAGCCCTACCCGCCCGCGCAGCTCACCTCTCCGGCTGGATCCACAGGCTTCGCCCGACGGCGCTTTGCGCCTGCCCCTGCACCTAGCACACAGCACACCCACACGTACGTAGCCCAACACGCATCACATTCACACCCCTCCATGCTCACTACTTGTCCTCGATCCGATCCGCTCCCAGGCGGCAAGACGAGTGACAGTGTTGAGAATATGGATGAC